TAAATAGCACCACATTACTTAATAATTTGATCACATCTATGGTTAAAATCAAAATTACTGATATCCTTAACAGATTTTGATTTGAAGTTATTTTCATTCAACAAGAAGTTCATAAAGGCTTTTTAATAATCAGTTGGAAATCATCATTGCAGTAATGAAGCACCCAATAATAGCTGACCAGATTTCCTGCAATGTTTCCAGTTTTTGAGGTTGGAAGACCTTTGTCGTCACCCAAACTTTTAGCTCCCACCCGACTCTCAACAGATTCAAGTTGGGATGTCAACAAAACATCAACAATACTTAGAGTCAGGAAAAACTTTTCAACTGAATTAAATGATTGCTTCATTCAGTCAAAATCTGTGCGAATAACTTCTCTAAAATTATTTACACATTTCAATGAAATGAGATGTAAAAAAAAAAAAAAAAAAAACATTTTAATGTCATTTAACTTTCTTTAGTGACCATAGTTTATTTCATAATTGCTTAAAAAAAGGTTTGAATTTTTTAAAAAAATGCTGTTAATTTTCATAACTAAGTAAAGTAGTGACTGTAGAAAAAAAGTATTTTTAGTATATTTTAGTTTTTGGAATGACTGTTGCAACTGTGCGCTACTTTAATATGGTAAAGAAAAGAATCTATGAAATTGAATAAGATGAAATATTGTGTACATGAGAGGCATCTCAAAGTATACTTTTTAATCATCTGAGTGTTTATTAGTTCAAATGACTTACGTTTTTAAACAAAAAGGTAAGCAAAAAATGTATTTTGTTTTGAACAATAATATGCTAGCTTTGCTGCGTTACCGAAATCTGAAAGTATTTGCCAGTTTTCTCTTAGACTAAGGAAACATAATATGTTAACTTTATATTTGTGGCACAAATGCATGTTTTTAGTGAATTCAAGCCGATATAAAATTCACAAAAAGCAAAACTTATCACAGAGTTGGAGCTTTGCAGCAAACACCAACTCACGCTTTAGCTGCATTTACATTTTCTCAAAAGAACAGAGCATATAAAAAAATAAAAACAGAACAGACACAAAGAAGCTCATCTCGCTTGTTTTATCTGCATCGGTCCTGTAGATACAGATAAATAAAGATAGTTTGATGAACTTCAGCTAGAGATGACCTATGCCTGCACGTTTTTTTATGATTAAAGTTAAAAGAAGTAAGACGCTTACATAAATATAGCTTAACTCTAACTCCTGAGCTGGTAAAAGTGCCATTTAAATAAAACAATACTGAGAACCTCAGGGCGAGGAACCTAGTGGAAGGTTTGCGGAGCAGAACATAAATGAACTGTGTTTATACGATCATCTGTTACCCTGTGTTTGAGCAATTTTGTGGTGCAGGCAAAGCACGCCTCCAGAAACGGAACGTTCCCTAGCACGGCAACTCCTGGAGGCTTTTTTTCTTCTTTTTCCCTCTAAGAAGTCACTCCAACCACATTTGCCCTACATTTTCTCTAACATAGTTGAACAGAATCTGGAAATGATCTTGTATCTCATACAAGTTCACTTCCAGACCTTTTTTTAAAAGACTTTTTTAAAACCACGAGGTTTTATGACATTTGTTGTTCACTTCGGGGCCTGGAATTGAATTCAGTTTAGTTAAGCTCTGTGGGAAATTCATTTTGATTAAACTACCTTTATTTACAAAAATAAACCAAACTAAATTGATGGAATTATAAATCGGATTGAAATTCATATTGTGCTCCAGAATTCAACTTAATTTTAGAATTTTGATCCACTTTGAGTAGGCTGTATTAATTTGAATCAGATTAAACTGAGTCAAGTTGAAGTGAACTCAATTTAATTGAACTGATCTGAAATGACTCGTACGTTTGAACTGAATAGAATTGAGCAGTAGGGGGAAAAACTCTCAAGACCTGCAAGTTTGTATCTATGATAAATAACTAATAGTTCTCTGGTTCTACGCTTAAAATTTAATAGCAAATTTTAACCAGAACAAATAAAAGGCAGAAATATGATTAAAGCACTAAAACGGCAATAGTGCAGGACATAGCTTCTGGTTTCTGCATGTATTGCATTAATATTTCACTAAAACATAAGGATTGTTGAAGTTTGTAAAGATGGAGCTCACAGTTTGTATTCCTCATGGTTTTATTGGTGATGCTGTTTAAATAAAAATCTGCATGTTTTGGTAAACACTATATTAATAAATCTCACTCTGTATTCCCTTGTGGCGATAACACACGCATAAGCCCTTATGTTGCACTAAATCTAATCCTGCACTAATCCTAAACCAATGAAATCAAAAGTTTTTGAGCACTTTTATTTTTCTTTATTGTATTTGTCTTTGTATTTATGGTTTTTATCTGTTACTTAAGGCCTATTAAAGTGTAATAATTTACCAAGAATCCCATCGAGGTAAATGATTATAAAAGGAACATTAGCTGGAAGGATGTTCATGAATGTACTTTGGCCCCCGGCAGATAAAGGAAGAAAGAATCTCTGTCCTGTCCCTTGGATATTTTAGCCTCTAAATTGGGCTCTCCAATTGCTAAGAGAGGCCCGTGTTTTCACAAACGTCTTTATCCTCAGCCGAGGATTGATTTTTATCAGACAAGCAGCGCATTGTGCCTGGGCGTAACCGATACAGCAGAGACGGGAAGGTGGCTCCAAAGCATCCTCTTTGCAAAGATACTTTTAAAATACAACAGGTGCATGAAACAAAAAAACGCCTGTTTGTGTGGTGGTCACTCATTAAGCTAGCTCCTTGCTTACTCTGCAACTAAAAAGGAATTCCTCATTGAGTCATTTTGGGTTACAAAAAGCTGTTGTTTTTCTTTTTTCTTTTTTGCTTATGTCAGCTCAGCTGCGTGAAATCCAATCAAAGCAAGCAGGAGTTCAAAGCCACCCATGTATATTTAGTCAATAGAGTGGACTATAATACATAGGGATGTGTTGGAATTGGATAATGAGTGGGTGGCACGGAGGCAGCAAAGAAAGAGAAAGGCACTGTAATTACAAAAGCATTCTTCCCAATTGGGATCCGAGATCATAGAGGTCTGAACGACTCTTTGCACTCGAGCGCCTGTTAGACGACGACCGTCTGATAATTGTCCAACAGCAGAGAGGTCAGGACTTTTGTTGTTGTTTTTTGTAACCCTTGCATTCATGTTTTCTTTGAGCACATTGCCAGCAGCGAGGTCAGGTGCAGTTTTCTGTCACATGCGAGAGTTTAAAGTTTGCTGCAATTTCAGAGAAGTCATGTGGCGTTCATCTTTTGGTCGCATTGATTGCTGCAGCGGTGTTTCAACGGTTCAGCCGGAGAAAATCAGACGGCACAGCTGCTGCTGCTGACGTTCTCACTAAAACCTGGAAGATGGAACGTGTCACCCCATTTCTGAAGTCCTTCCACTGGCTCCCTGTAGCTCAGAGAACAGAGTTTAAAATACTGTTGATCGTTTATATCAACTTTATTCAACTTTATTTAAAGACGCAAAATAGGTCCATAGAGTAAAAGAAAAACGAACGACTTAGTACCGCATTACATTAAAGATCTGCTGTTGTTGTATCAACCTCCCAGCAGATCTCTCAGGTCTTCTGGTTCTGCTCTGCATCCCCAGAACCAAACATGGAGAAGCAGCATTCAGCTCCTCTACACCACAAATCTGGAACAAACTTGGCGATAACGTTTCCTTTGTAGCTCTGGTTGTTTGTTTAGGGTCTTTATCCAGCTTGACCCAGTCTCAAACCTTCGGAACCTCGAACAGGTTTTCTTCTACCATTATCCTGCATTTTCTCCATCTATTTTCCCAATACCAACTGGATCTATTCTTCCACCATGTTTCAAAGGTCTGACGGCCTGTTTTTTATTATTAATGGGTGTCAAGAGATAGGCCTGTCACCATGAATAAAAATTTGCTGCACAATAAATAGTTCTAGTGATCCTTGCAATAAACGATAATATTGTTGTTTTGGGATCATTTTTAAGTCAATGACAATGGCATGATAATACAAGTTCGTCTCTCTCAAAGACCAATCAACTTTATTTTTCTAAAGAACACTTAACACCGGAACAGGAAGCCATTTTAAAGATCCAAAATAAAACACAACCAAAAAATAAAATGGAAAAAAAACCCCACTTAGAACCAAAACCATAAATAAAATGGATCATGAAATCTATGCGAGCAAAATTGCACTTAAAAAAAAAATCTTAATCATCACAGTGGAAATTATCGAGGTCATTTTAATTTATGTCAATTGATCAATTTCTTATTGCGACTACAAAGTTTACATTAATTATGTAAACTTTTCAGATTACATGATTTAAAAAAAACACTTCTTTGTGTTGCTTTATCATAAAAATCTGAGGAAATTATCTTTAGGTGGAAATGATCAAAGGGTATAAAATGGGACCGCCCAAATGAAATGTCATCTTTGAGCCCATAATGTTTATGACGCAAAACAATGGAGTACTATATTGCCGCTTTGACTCTGGGCTTACACAACGTCTCACGGCAGCACAATGACACATGGCGGCATGCCTACATACATGAGGTGTGGCGCTTTAGTCCAGGATGATTGTGGTTTTCCACACAGTGTTTACAGGATTAGGTCTGATTTGTGCTTGAGACAAGAGGTCAGTTAGCAAGACGCAGAGACACAGCTAGGTGCTTAAAGACACGGATAATTGTCGTGTATGGTTGAGAAACAGCAGAGGATGATAAAAGTGAGATTAATTTTTGTTTGGGACGACAAGCCGGCGGTGACTCGGCTGAGTTTTGTTTCTCATTATTCCTGCCCAATTTAAGCCTCGGTGTTGTGAAAAAGTCTCTGGAGGAACGAAACCAGTCAACAACTTAAAAACAAAAGATTAATTTTGAGCCATTCAGACTGCACAGATCATGAATTTAAATTAGATTGATAAATCGACATAAATTTGCAAACTAAGAAAGACTCAAAAGTTTCTTTGTTCATTTTTTGTTTTATTTCAAAATACAATGTGAAAGTGTTTTTTTTTTGTTTGTTTTTTTATCAAAATCACAATTACAGTGAGACAAATAAGACTTTTAACATAGGCTTTTCAAGTCCAAATGGTGCTTGGGTTCATTTATTTAATAAAGTCTCATATATACTTACACATTTTCCCACATAACAAACACACCAAGCTCATTGATAACCTTCATAATATTTACCATATTCAGAAAATAGAAGCTTAAAACACTCACGGGTGGAATATGCTTTAATTTAAAGGAAGGTGGCAAAATCAGATGCTAAACATGTATAACAGTACTGGAGATGCAGCATTTGATAGTTTAAAAGTGCTTATAAAGTTGAATTGTTCTTGTCACAGTGTCTTGAATATGATCTGAAATTTATTTACATTTAAAAAAGGAATTTTAGTATTTCATTTGGTCGCACTGGGGGAAAATTTATATACACCAGCAATAAAAACATATGTAGACTTTTCAGTGTAAATTCCAAGTTAGAAGAGAAAGAAGAATGAGGTTGTCAGACCTTATAAGTAATAAAACAGGAAAATTTGCTTAGTGAATTACATAAAAAATATTAAGTATACAATGCTTCCTTGAGAATAAATTACAGTGCCTTGCAACAATATTAATATCCCTTTAACAATTTTAGATTTTGTCATATCTCAGCCACAAACTTTTTCTTTGATAGATCAACACACAGTAGGAGATAACTGCAGTATATGCCATACCTTAGTCTTAAAAGTATGGCATATATATTCAGTATATACATCAATAATGTGATTTTAATGTTCAGTTGTTTAGAGAACAGAGACACACCACACAGGTCAGAAAACATACTCACTCCACACTTTCCAGAATCAGAGCAAAAATTTAAGACCGTGTTGCATTTTCATTTGACTTCAGATATTACGTGATACTTTGTTTCAATCTAACAAAAAAATTCCAATTTTAAAACATCAATGTTTGTGGTTTGGTGACAAAAGCTGAAGCTGATTTAATAATTTTGCAAGACCATGTATATACAGTATGTTAAAAATAAAGAATTTCTAAAAACATCTGGCTACGTTTGCAAAAAAATAAAAAAAAGGAAAAAATTCAATGCCTTCTACAAAATATAAGACTTGTTTTCAATTACACCACCAGAACTAGCTGCTAGGGTAATTCATATTTTCTGGTTTTAAGTTAATAGACAGCATTTGGTTTGTGCCATGTAATTTAAGGCATCAGGGGCTTTCATTCAAGTATCCCTTCGTTGTAATGTATAAATATTGCCGTGTGTCTTTTCCAGTCAAATTTCCCTCCACTTTCCGTCACAAAACACTCATAAAATCCAGACAGCGGTACAACACATTAAGCTCACTGTTTGGTCCCATGCTTTCAATCTGGTTTCAGGTGTTTGTCACCCGGCGACGGGGTCTGGGGGAGGAGGGCATGCATACACGGTGTGTGGTCGCAGAAGTCGTTCAGACGCCTGTGACGTTGGCCCAGGCAGGGAAAGTGTCCAGGTGAAACATCGCCTTGCCCCAGGTGTTGATGGCCAGTGTAATGCAAATGATGCCGATAATGTTCATAACTATCCCAGTCTTAGCCTGTCGGGGACAAAAATACATACAAATACTTTTTTAAAGGTGTGCTTTATTTACCTGAAGTCAATAGATCTGAAAATACTGCTCTGTTCAATTTATTGAAGGCTTTCAGTTCAGTGACAGTTTGTCGAAACTGTCCGCTGAGTGGTTAGCTTGATAAAACAAATTTCAAACAGAAAAAAAATAAATAAATTACCTGCATCACATAAAAGTTTCCATTGGCTAAAAATGGTAAAACTAAATTATGTCCTCTTTCAGTTTTGCGGTGTGTAGTGTTCAACGAGGACAAATGAGAACGCAGAACGAGAACGTAAAAACCAAACTTGTGTCCTACGCTTCTGGGCTCTTGAGAAATGAGTACCAACCAGGCAAATTAGCAAACAGAAGCAGAAGCTGTGAATGACGTTGTTGTCAGTTTTTTTTTTTTTTTTTTTTTTTTTTTTTTTTGTTTTTTTAAATTTTTCCCGGTCTCCCTTTGTTTTTCCAAAGGGAGGGGGGGGGAGGAAAGA